CACACCTCCACCCCGTCCACACCTTCCACACCTCCACCCCGTCTACACCTTCCACACCTCCACCCCGTCCACACCTCCACCCCGTCTACACCTTCCACACCTCCACCCCGTCTACACCTCCACCCGTCCACACCTTCCACACCTCCACCCCGTCTACACCTTCCACACCTCCACCCCGTCTACACCTTCACACCTCCACCCCGTCCACACCTCCACACCTCCACCCCGTCTACACCTTCCACACCTCCACCCCGTCTACACCTTCCACACCTCCACCCCGTCTACACCTCCACCCCGTCCACACCTTCCACACCTCCACCCCGTCCACACCTTCCACACCTCCACCCCGTCTACACCTTCCACACCTCCACCCCGTCCACACCTGCCACACCTCCACCCCGTCTCCACCTTCCCCCGTCTACACCTTCCACACCTCCACCCCGTCTACACCTACACCTTCCACACCTCCACCCCGTCTACACCTTCCACACCTCCACCCCGTCCACACCTTCCACACCTCCACCCCGTCTACACCTTCCACACCTCCACCCCGTCTACACCTTCCACACCTCCACCCCGTCTACACCTTCCACACCTCCACCCCGTCTACACCTTCCACACCTCCACCCCGTCTACCCGTCCACACCTTCCACACCTCCACCCCGTCTCCACCCCTTCCACACCTCCACCCCGTCTACACCTTCCACACCTCCACCCCGTCCACACCTTCCACACCTCCACCCCGTCCACACCTTCCACACCTCCACCCCGTCTACACCTTCCACACCTCCACCCCGTCTACACCTTCCACACCTCCACCCCGTCTACACCTTCCACACCTCCACCCCGTCCACACCTTCCACACCTCCACCCCGTCTACACCTTCCACACCTCCACCCCGTCTACACCTTCCACACCTCCACCCCGTCCACACCTTCCACACCTCCACCCCCCCGTCCACACCTTCCACACCTCCACCCCGTCTACACCTTCCACACCTCCACCCCGTCTACACCTTCCACACCTCCACCCCGTCCACACCTTCCACACCTCCACCCCGTCTACACCTTCCACACCTCCACCCCGTCTACACCTTCCACACCTCCACCCCGTCTACACCTTCCACACCTTCCACACCTCCACCCCGTCCACACCTTCCACACCTCCACCCCGTCTACACCTTCCACACCTCCACCCCGTCTACACCTTCCACACCTCCACCCCGTCCACACCTTCCACACCTCCACCCCGTCCACACCTTCCACCACACCTTCCACACCTCCACCCCGTCTACACCTTCCACACCTCCACCCCGTCCACACCTTCCACACCTCCACCCCGTCTACACCTTCCACACCTCCACCCCGTCTACACCTTCCACACCTCCACCCCGTCCACACCTTCCACACCTCCACCCCGTCCACACCTTCCACACCTCCACCCCGTCTACACCTTCCACACCTCCACCCCGTCTACACCTTCCACACCTCCACCCCGTCTACACCTTCCACACCTCCACCCCGTCTACACCTTCCACACCTCCACCCCGTCTACACCTTCCACACCTCCACCCCGTCCACACCTTCCACACCTCCACCCCGTCTACACCTTCCACACCTCCACCCCGTCTACACCTCCACCCGTCTACACCTTCCACACCTCCACCCCGTCTACACCTTCCACACCTCCACCCCGTCTACACCTTCCACACCTCCACCCCGTCTACACCTTCCACACCTCCACCCCGTCTACACCTTCCACACCTCCACCCCGTCTACACCTTCCACACCTCCACCCGTCTACACCTTCCACACCTCCACCCCGTCTACACCTTCCACACCTCCACCCCGTCCACACCTTCCACACCTCCACCCCGTCTACACCTTCCACACCTCCACCCCGTCCACACCTTCCACACCTCCACCCCGTCTACACCTCCACCCCGTCCACACCTTCCACACCTCCACCCCGTCTACACCTTCCACACCTCCACCCCGTCTACACCTTCCACACCTCCACCCCGTCTACACCTTCCACACCTCCACCCCGTCCACACCTTCCACACCTCCACCCCGTCTACACCTTCCACACCTCCACCCCGTCTACACCTTCCACCCCGTCTACACCTTCCACCTTCCACACCTCCTGTCTACACCTTCCACACCTCCACCCCGTCCACACCTTCCACACCTCCACCCGTCTACACCTCCACCCCGTCCACACCTTCCACACCTCCACCCCGTCCACACCTTCCACACCTCCACCCCGTCTACACCTCCACCCCGTCCACACCTTCCACACCTCCACCCCGTCCACACCTTCCACACCTCCACCCCGTCTACACCTTCCACACCTCTGCATCAGGTACACTTTTCACACCTTCCCCCTCATCTACACCTCCCTCCCTCATCTACACCTCCCTCCCTCATCTACACCTCCCTCCCTCATCTACACCTCCCTCCCTCGTCTACACCTCCCTCCCTCATCTACACCTCCCTCC